AGCCCGTCTCTCAGACACACACTCTCATCTCTTTGTTTCTGATTTCAAATTTTGAAATCTGACCCACCTTTTCTCTCTCTCTCTCCCCATCAACCCTTGCAGGCAACCGAACCCAAAACCCCTATTAGTCTCTTCATCTTCTCTCTTCCTCCCTTCTCTCTTCCTAATCGTCATCGTCTCTCTTTCGACCGAATGGAGCAACTATATATATGACTCAGAGATGGGAGATTCAGAGATGGGACCAAATGTATGTATATAAATGCATTTGTATGTATTATGTATGATTATGTGATTTTATATATGATTATGGATGATTATGGATGTATATGTATATATATGTAGATTTTATATATAGATTTTATATATGATTATGGATGTATATATAGATTTTATATATGATTATGGATGTATATGATTCCAATATGGGGTGCTTGTTGGATCGAAGTGAGAGTTGTTTTGAATGTTACGACATTATATGACTAAGAGATGGGAGATTCAGAGATTCACATTAAATGTGAGATATTAGTTTTGAATGTTAAATATTCTTGGGAATGATCATGATTATGATTCTGCCATTAATTTCTGCTTAACTATTTTGAGTGGAGCTGGGGCAGTTCATTTCTTGAGTGAATCTTTTGAATAATCGGTGGCCCAAATTTTAATGTCTCATCAGATGATAATCAATGTAATCAACTTTTTTTTTTTCCTTTTTTTTTTGGGAGAGGGGGGTAATGGGTTTGGATTTTTATCTATCTGTGGTTTAGAAAAATAATGAAAAGATGAGAATGTGTTTTTTTTCTTGAAAGTCATATTTTGGATTGTACCTACCCAAAAATATTTTGCATTGAATTTTCATTTTCTTGAATTGTACAATGGCAAATTATCGATTCTCTCTCTCACCTAGAGGATCACTTCAGAGGATCACTCTAGAGGATCCGGACGCCTCTTTCTCAGCCTCTCCCTCTCGCTGGCCATAGTGTTGGCTATAGTTAGCGAACAAATTAATAGTTAATAAAGTCTCAATTGGAAAATTTGACTAAAAATTAAAAGTAAATTTTTATTTATTTTGAATCATATTACTTTTTTATATATTTTTTTAAAATAATCAAAAAAATTAAAAAATCAATTTTTAATTAACTTTTCAAAACAATACAAAATTAGAAAACACTAACATACCCTTTAACAGCTCTATTGAAGTATCATTTGAGCCTTTCACTAGCAAAATTTTAATGACGGACACTAGCACATCCCTCAATAGTTTCACTGTGGATATTCTTAGCTCATTCTTAAAATAATAATGCTATATACATCAATTGATATATTAATTAGTGTACCAACAGATGATGTGACACAATTTTAGAAGTTTTATCTTTGTAAATTGTATAATGGATAAAGTTATAGTTTTAAAATGGTAATATCATAATTATATTGCTACAGTAATTAGTATACCAATTGGTGCATGTCTTTTTAAAAATTGACTCATTACTAAATATTTAAAAATTTTAAAGGACAAATCAAAAAAAAAATATTTAAAGTATTATTAAACATTATTTCATAATGTTTCTGGCCATTTAACATTATACATAATTTTTTAAATCAATTAGATAATTAAATGGGGATTATTTTATTACTACGGACATTAGTATTAGATTCAATGATTTTTTTTTTTTATGTTTTGGAAATAATGAAATAATTATTTTGAAATGATAAATTAGTATTAGTGATTGATAAAATTATTTGAAATGATTAATTATGTTTTGGACATTAGTATTAGTGATTGATAAAATTATTTGATAAAAATGATAAATTATTATTTTGAAATAATTTTTTTTATTTTTTTTATTTTTGCTCCATTGTTGCTAGATCTCTATTAGATCACTGCCAACTTTAAAAATCAATCGAAAATGACAGGAAAGTCAACTTGAAAAATGGATGAAAAGTCATTGAGGGCAACAATTGGTAGTGATTTTGATATTAATAAATAAACAGGTTCGATGGACAGATATAAATAGATAATGACACGTAGATAAATAACTAAATAAATAAATGGTATGTGAATAGATAGATGACGCGAACATAGGAGAAATAAATAGATGCATTATAATCGGTCAAATTATTTTGTCCTTTTAGTTATAAAAGAACTAGCATATCATCTGTGCTATATACACGGATTATATTTACAATTATTTATATATGTGAATTATGATTTTAAATGTTTTTTTTTTTAAATGCCTTCTTTTTTTATTTTATATTATATTAAAATTTAATATTTTGATAATAATCATATGTGTTGGACTTTTGAAGAAATTAAATGTCTTTTTTTTATTATATTATATTAAAGTTTAATATTTTGATAATAATCATATGTGTTGAACTTTTTAAGAAATTTTTTTTATGCTTATTCTTAATGTATAAAAGTGTTATTATGAGGGATAATAATCATATGTGTTGGGACTTTTTAAGGAATTCTTATGTGTTGGATTTAAAATTTTTTTTATACTTGTTCTTAATGCATTAAAGTATTATTATGAAGGTAAGAGTTGAGAGTTGAGAGAAATTAATTAATGTTAAGATTTTATTTTTTTTAAATCAAAAAATTAAGAAATTTAAATTGAGAGATTGAAACTCTCATAAAACTTAGAGTTAAAAATTTCATTTTACTTAATATATAGTAAGTATAGATAGAGCTCGAGACTATTGCCCTACAATTTTAAAACAACAATGATTCATCCCACTAAAAACATCACCACTAATAGCACTAATGCATTAAAAAAGTAAAAAAAATAAAAAAAAATACAACTCCAAGACCAAAACATCACATCATTAATGACGGGACCCACTGCCACCTAATTAGTGGGAGCACTAATTAGTGCTCCCAAGCATTTTTCATTTTAAAATCATAGTCATGGCGCAAGTTTCCTAAAAAGTTATATAAAATAGTATATTGAGATTATAAATATTTTGTTTTATTTGTTTCTTATTGATAACGTTAACTTCTGTCATTAGCACTATCAATTTTTAATAGGCCACAGTCTCTTTTCTGTCTACATTGGGTTGGAGGGTGCTGTTGGAACTGTATGGGTTGATTACGGAATCCGCATCGATAATTCAAATGGTTTAATGCATTGGGCTCGTTGAGTATTTAATCTTTGGACAAATTACATATACCTCTCTCGAAATTTAGTTAAATTATAGATGCTCCTGAAGTTTCAGAAATTACAGATACTCCTCCAAGGTTTATATTTTTATAGTAAATTGTCCCCTAATTTGTTATGAAAATATAACCTTCAGGGGGTATCTGTAATTTCTCAAATCTCAAGGGGTATATGTAATTTAGCCAAATTTCGAGGGGTATATGTAATTTGCCTTTAATCTTACAAAAAATCACGTTGATCGAATATCAATAGCCACTTGAGTAAATCATGTTTGCATCAACGATATTCCATCAACATGATTTCTGGAATGATGAAATACTCAATAAATCTTACGTATTAAACGGTTTGGATTATCGATACAGATTTCATGATAGACCCGTGGAGAGAGGAGCATCTCCCTTTTAATAATAACATTATTATTTTTTAATTTATTTTTATAGTAAATTTATTGTTAGAAAAATTGATTACTTTTGATAAATAATAAAAAGGTAACTTTTTTATTTTTTATTAATAAAAAAAGCCAACAATATTATTATTTTTTAATTTATTTTTATAGTAAATTTATTGTTAGAAAAATTGATAACTTCTAGTAAATAATAAAAAGCGAACTTTTTATTATAAAAAAGTCGAGGGGATTCCACTTTTTTTTAATAATAAAAAATAAATTTACTTACTTTTTTTTTTAATTATTTAAATACTAGTCAAGAAGTGGCTCTTATTTTTTGTTTTTGAGCTTTATATCTGTAAGGAAAAGTCCAGAAATCCAACCTTATTAACTTAGAAAATTTTGGATAGAAGACCTAATTTGAGAATATAGTTAAAATTTAAATTTTTTCTTTTAACTTATTTTAATTCACATCACATCTTTATATTTTTATACATTTTTTCAAAAATAAAAAATAAAAAAATCAATTTTTAACTAACTTTCCAAAAAAAAAAAAAAAAAAAAACTCATATCTTTCTTTGGCATTTTAGTTTTAGGGGTTAAAAGGCTAAAATAACCACAAAAAAATAATAAAATAGGCTAAAAAATTAATAAAACAAAATGTCACATTAAAATTATAATTATTTATTTATTTATTTTACAAAAGTCAAAAAGTTTAACACAAATGAGACTTTTTAGTGTAAGCTAAAATAGCTAAAAAGCTAAAAAGTAAACCCACTTATCAAACGAAGCTTATGGTATCGTTTGGGAAGTTGACTATTTTAGTAGGCTATTTTAGTTTTTAGTTATTTTAATATGTTAAATTTTTGTATTGGGAAAGAGGGTTGAATTTTTTTATAAATGGATGTGATGTTTGTAAGAGAAAAAACTAAAATAATTATGGATTTAATGTAATATTTTGTCTTATTGACTATTTTAATTTATTTTATCATTTTGTAAATTGTAGCCAAAAAAGCCAAAAATTCACTTGCTAAGCAGGGCCTATGTAATGGAGATTAATTTGTATAATCTAGAGTTCATGTAACATGTGATAGAAATTAATTTCTTGATAATTTTTAAATTGATAAGGGTAGATTTATAATATTACTCTATCGATAAATAATTAGACGAATTATTTATAAGTGAGAGAAAGAGAAAAAAATTATTAACACATAAGATATAAGTGACACTTATACACGCGTATGTTTGTAATTTTTTTCTATCTACTCCTCCATATAATTGCATAATTTTTTTTCTATATCCCCGTCTACATGTAATTGCACCCTATATGTTTGTTTTTTTACTATTCCCCACCTACATGTAATTTTCCCTAAATATTTTCTATTCCTCATTTCACTACCCTCTCTCTCTCTCTCTCTCTCTAAATACTTTATATCCCTCATTTTCACAACCCCCTCTCTCTCTCTCGGAGGAAACCTTTCCCTGCACTCTCTCTCCCTTCTTCTCTCTCTCTCTCTCTCTCTCGCTCTCTCTCTCTCAAGAAACCCTTAGCCTTCACGCCTGTCCTCGATTCGCAACACCACCCTTGAAGACTCGAAATTGTGGTTCACAAGAAAAGCTTATAGTGAGTTCCTTCATATTTTTTATTTTATTTTATTTATTTATTTATTTGTAGCCATGGTTATGACTTAGATATATTTAACTAAGGGGCCTATCTTAGATCTATATCCTCTTTAGGTTTAGCGTTGCTATTCTTTTATTTTTCTTCAATCATGACTGAGATTTACATGGTTTTTTTGTTTATATTTTTGTGGCTATGAATTTAACACTTTTCTGTTGGTTTGTATTTTCGTTCTCTGTTTTATATTTTATTATTTTAAAAAAAAAATTAGCAAAGATTTTTTTTAAATAATTTTTTTTTAATTTTTCAAATCTTTTTTTTTAAAAGGATAAGATATAAAAACACCTCCTGAAATGTAATTAAAATACAAATTGTCCTTTTGGAAATTACATTCCACCTTATGAGATTTTTAATTTCATAATGAATCACCCCTTTTATTAATAAACAATCAAGTCAATTGATAATTTTTAATAATGTTAAAAATATATTTCAATTAATAATTTAAATAATTTTATTATTGTATAGAAGATCAATTATGAATTTCATTTTTTTTTAGTTAATTCCATTAAATAATTTTTTTTAAAAAGGAACATTTGTAATTTACCAAACCACAGAAGACAATTTGTATTTTAAGTAAATTTCAGAAAGTGTATTTGTAATTTACCCTTTCTAAAATTATCCACTTTTTAAAAAAATATAATTTTAATGTTTTTTTTATTGGAGCTAAATTTAATAAGTCAAACTATATTTCAGTTCAACTAAACTCATTTAAAATAAACTTAAAAGCTTAAGAACCAAACTTAAACAAATTTTAAGATTTATTAAAATTTTTAAACCAAAATAAAATAGTTTATTGTTCGGTTCGTTTGGCTCATATATTTTTTTGGGTAAGTAGTTTGGCTCATATATTACCTCTACTCCATCAATAAATAAATCAATAAGGGCAAATTATACTAACAATCTTTATAGTTTGGAACTTATATCACTTTGATTCATGATTTTTCAATTCTAATATATTTAACTTTAAATTTTGAATCTTATTTTAAATAAGGACAATCAAATATGTTTTATTTGCAAATAGTTTATTTCGAGAGCAAAGTCGTTGTACAACTTATTTTATGCTGGTTGACTACAACTTATTTTATATTGGTCTGCCTGTATATTATTTGAAATTTAATAGCTTTTTTTTTAGTGAATAAATTTAGAACTTTCTAGGTTATAAAGATCTATTTTGTTTGATTTTTCAGAATCTATTTCTAAATTTTTTTTCTAAGAAATTAAAACTTAAATTGGTGAAAAGAATTAAAAATACATCATTTTTATACAATTTTATCTTTTGAGAGGGTAGAAATAATTTTTTAAAATATTTGTTTTGATATTTATTTTCAATAAATTAGTTTCTATTTTTTTTAAGAATTAAACATGGCTACAATTTTAATGTCATTATTAAACCAAACCATTAAATTAAAAAATTCAAAATTAAAAATATTTCATATGTTAAGGATATCGACTACATATTAAAAACCTAATAATCATCCATTACATGATAACCATATCCGTTTGGCAAAACGGGGCTTTTTTGGCCATTTTAGCCACAAAAGACAAAATAGGCTATTTTAGCCACAAAAAACAAAATATCACATCCAACCCATAATCATTACATTTTTCTCTCACAAAAAAAGCCAAAAAAGTCAAAAAGCCAAAAAATCCTTCACAAACCAAACTTTTTAGCCCAGACTAAAATAGCCAAAAAAGTCAAAAAGCCAAAAAGCCAACTCACTTTCCAAACGGAGGCTATATCTATTAACAATGATGGCAAATTACACCAATGATCCATATATTTTACACCTTTTAGTTCCTACACTTTCAATTGACTCAATTTTGACCCTTAATTTCAGATTTTATGTCAGTTTGATCCAATTTCTAATATCGTTAGTGTCTTTTAAGAAAAATTATTTTTAAATTGGTTAAAATTAACTTATTAAGTTCAGTAAGTTTATAATTTTACATTTACAAATATGGCACATGATACTTATATACATATTTTTCATAAATAAATACTAAGAATTGTAACTAATTGGTTTAAATCGCGATAAAGTCATAAATTCAAGGTCAAAATCAAACCAACTGAAATTACAAAGATTAAAGTGACATGAGGACCAAAGTATAGGGACTACCATCGTAATTCGTACTAATAACAAATATAATAATATCAAAAAAAATAATCATCAATTATATGATCATTATCTAAATATATATCAAAAATTAATTTGGTAAAAAAATAAAAATATAAAAGATTTATCATTTTTATATAATTTTATCTTTCATAAATAAAAATAATTTTAAAAAAATTAAAAACAAATTTTTAATATTTTTTTTTGTCAAATTAATTTATATTTTATTAAATTAATAATTTTATCCTTAAAATAGAATAATGGTATCTGTAATTATTCTTATTTAAAATAGTATTTAAAATTCATAATTAAATGTATTATAATTAAAAAATTTATAGATGGAGGTAATGTTGGGGTCTCCGAATGCTGCACAAGTTTTATTCTGACACTGAAATGTTTTTTTCTTTGATTATGTGCAGATCATTTACTATAATATATATATATATATACACTAAGTGAATATCCGTACTTAAAGATACAGTGTAAATAATATTTTATTTAAATAATTTTCATTGATCATTCTCTCTTAAATTAGGAATATTGAAAATCAAGTATATCTAAAATTTTATTTTTCCATGACATACAAAAATTATTAATAGATAACATACATTTTAGCAAAAGGATTCCTTTTATTATAGACACAACTTCAAAATAAGTGGAACAACAAAATGGTGTTATCCCTTTGGAGCATACCATGCCAATACAAAAATAGTATTCTTGATCAAAATCTAAGTAACAAACACCTCCAAATGTCTACCTCTCAAACTAAACCAAATCTATATAAGTTTACACAACGTCAATCTGCCTTTAAATAGTCTTTAACTTTATATAACGTCAATCATTTTCAAAGTTTGTCAATGATAAAACCAAAAATAGTGTAAATTCTGCCCTCGAGATCGCCACTCTTTCAGCACTCATCAATCAAAAAAGTGCATGTTTAGTTTACACAACAATAAATTCAAAAATCATCAGAGATATAAGAAAAACTTAAGCTTAAAAAAATGTAAACCTGTAAAAAGGGAGTCAATATTACCATTCGCTTCTAGTTTTCATCCACCTGTAAAAAAAAAAAAAGCCAACATAATAATTAAAAGAGACTACCCAATTCAAAACAAACACATGCATTGTCACACTAATGAAAGGTTTTTTTATAGACCACCAAATTCAAACTAAACACAAACATTGTTACAAAATAATAATTGGTTACCCAATGCAAACACTACGAACAAACACAACACATTGTCAACACAGATACAAATTAATGACTGATAAAAATATTAATTTACAAAATCAATCAATATTTTCTTTGGGTTTTATTTTTTTTAATTCTTTCTTCTTAGAACTTACTTTAATTGATCACATAAAGTTAGAGGGAAAATTTAAGAAGGAAGTGTTCTTAAAAAATAATTTAATAAAACAAAATTCAGAAAGCAAACTCTTCGCTTGGTAATTCAACAACAAACTCTAACTAACTTTATTCCCGCATCATTTACAAATCAATACAGCCTAAAAGACCCTATTTATTTTGTCCAAAAACCGAAGCCATTTATTATATCAATTTAGTCCCATCAGTTTTGTGTATATAACCATCCATCACCTACACCCATTCAGATTCATTTTGCTTCCAACTTTAAATAATTTTTGAATATTTGTTAAGCAATACAAGACCATAAGCAAAAATCAAAACTCAAATAAAATAACAATTCCCCCCAGCCTTAATGCAAATTAAGAAACAAATATATAATATTTATAATGTTCACTAATATTGCAAATCAAAATATCATAGTAAGTAAAAAAAACTGAAACATAAAGTTAGGGGAAAAAATCAAGAAAATCTGACCCCTTCAGAGTTGGGCAACTATACATATCATCACGCGTGGTTAGAACAAATAATTAATTGAATGGATTCGAAGCAGAATTGGTAAATAACCTTGCAACAATTCAAACCCCAGTTCAAACACATGTATAATGGCATTGCTGTAGGACTTAGTCATGATGCATATACCCACAAACTGTCATGACCCGAACCCGCCTCTATGGATTAAGGTCATAACCGACTAGTAATCAAGAAATTACCTACGGCCTCAAACCCAATAAAACATATTTCAATAGAATCAAGGGGCCAAAACGGAAGCAAACTTAAAAATTTGGTCTATAGAGCTATGCTTACACGACATATCATAATATCTCACATATACTCATTAATAACCCACACCAGGGAACGTAACATAGAATTTTACACATACAGGATCATTCAAGTCATACTCAGCCAAACCAAAAGCTTATATACAAAGGTGATGCGACATGTTCACCAAGATAACAAAAGAGTAAACCAAAAGAAACAGAACGGTGTCTTGTGCGTGAGACATTTGGGCTGACTCCACAAAACTTGACTTTCCTCACATACTTCACTGAGGCTGGGTTCGGACATCTCTTTGCTCACCTATATACACATGAATGAGAGTGAGCGAAAACTCAATGAACAATATCAAATAAAGAAAGTACATGAATGAAATTTGAAACAGACGTATCAAACGGCCTTGGGCCCATCCATGTTTCTGTCTGGTACATTAACAGCTTTAAGCCCAAACATATCAAACGGCCTCTGGCCCACTTTGTTCCTAACAGATGGCCTCGGGCCCAATTCACTCATGTCAAACGGCCTCGGGCCCAATTCATTCCTGTCGAACGGCCTTTGGCCCAATCATTCCCATCAAACGGCCTTTGGCCCAATCATTCATGTCAAATGGCCTTTGACCCTTCATTCATGAAACGGCCTTTGGCCCTTCATTCATGTCAAACGGCCTTTGGCCAAATCATTCATGTCAAACGGCCGTTGGCTTATCATTCATGTCAATTGGCCTTTGACCTAATCATTCATGTCAAATGGCCTTTGGCCCATCATTCATGTCAAATGGATTTTGGCCCAATCATTCATGTCAAACGGCCTTTGGCTCTTCATTCATGAAATAGCCTTTGGCCCTTCATTCATGTCAAACAGCCTTTGGCCTAATCATTCATGTCAAACGGCCATTGGCCTATCATTCATGTCAAATGGCCTTTGGCCCAATCATTCATGTCAAACAGCCTTTGGCCCATCATTTATGTCAAACGGCCTTTGGCCCAATCATTCATGTCAAACGTCCTTTGGCCCACCATTCATGTCAAACAGCCTTTGGCCCAATCGTATATGAATTGTGCATTCGTACTTGATGTCATAATCACATCATAATCATAATTGTAATCCAACGACCTTGTCCAATCATATGGCATAACAAATATTTGTCCACAATTCAAATTAATAAACTTATGAAACTCAAATAGGAGTAAGCAATTAGACAAATCGCATCCTTCAAAATATCTTTACTAAGATATTACTCACAGTGTTTTGCTGGTAGATTCATCCTTATGCTGGACCCTACATAACACATAACACATATTGGGTTACAAACGATTCAATCCGTTCTTAATTTATTTCTTTCTCTTAGGCCTATTTCTTATCCTTTTAGGTCATATACAAAGCTTAATGCATGCCTAAGAGTGCTTAGAAATGGAAGAGAACGGAAAATGAAACACAAAACAACCTTTTCAAAATTTTTGAAACAGGGCTCTCTACTCGAGCGCAGCTTCTGCCGCTCGAGCGGACCCCTTTGGTCTGCAAAAGTACTGGTTACTTCATTTTTGCGCTCGAGCATGACTTCGGATGCTCGAGCTAAGAGTCAAACATGTGATTGAACACTCGAGCGTAACTCTTCCCCGCTAGAGCGGACATCAATGTCTGTAAAACTTCTGAGAGCTAATATTTTACGCTCGAGCGACGCTTTTCCCGCTCGAGCGGACCCGACGAATTCTGGAATTTCCAGAATTGTTCTTGAAGCTCAAACTTAACCCAAAAAGGCTCCAAAACTCATGTTTTTGATACAAAAGCATGGAAGAACATCATATAACACAAGAACATAAGTAATTGGGACCAATTGACTAAAATCATGATCCACCTCATAAATTATCTTGAATTCTCTTCATAAATTTCAAAACTCATGTATTCAACCTCATACAAACTCCATATCTTCATCAATCATACATGCATGTTAATTTTTTACTCCAATTCTATTTCAAATGGTACAAATGATACTTATAATCATGAAACTCATGAAAATTATGCATGCATGTTAAATTTGGTGCTCAATTCTTCATGTTCATCATGCCTCATGTTTGATTATGCAAATTTATGGCAATTCATGGCAATTCTAAACATGCATGTGCATATAGACTTCTCACTTACACATCTTACTTGAATTCACTTATTTATGAATTTAATTTCATGAAGTTGAGCTCAAATACTCACCCAGAGGCTCCAATTCTCACAAATGTAGTTAAATCTTGTACCAATTCCCTTAGTCTTCTAATCTCTTAGCAAAATCTTCAATTTTGGCCTCTGTCTCTCTCTCTCTCCCTCTCTAAGCTGTGTACTCTCTCTCTAGAGTATATAATCAAATTTTGAGCTAAAAGAAAAGGAAGTTAAGTGTGTTTGGCCCCCTTTATATACACACCCTTAATCAAGTTTCATTAACACTAGTTAATTGAGCACAATTAAATCAATTTAATCTAATTAATTCGATCCGAATCAATTTTCAATTAAATTTCACCGTAGACTCTAAAAATTACGCTAATCACAATGGTGTAGTCAATTTCAGTTTCTGATGCCTCTACGACCTTCAATTTAAATTCTAAAGTAGAAAATCAAATAGATTTTCCTACGGTGAATAGATAGAAATACAAAAACACATATAATCATATAATTATCACTCAAAACCATATCAAGTATATAATCACGGTCATAATTAAGATCAATTAGCATAACACGGGATAGTGTTATAACACAAACCAATAATCTCCCAACCAAAATCTTACAAACCCATACTGCACTAAACACATAAAAGTGACAAACCAACAAATGAGAGAACATGACATACACAATATTCAATGATCAATAAAAACATTCAAAATTACAAACCTTACAAACCCACACTGCTCTTTGTTTTTTTTTTTTTTTTTTATCTGCAAATAGTATATAAACCCATGTTGGAAGTAGAATTACCTACAAAAGATGAGGTTGTTGTGGGAAGAAGTGTAACGCCCCCAAAAGAATTACGATAAACTAACTCCAAACACTAGTACAATATGATATAAATAACATCAGAAGCTTTTATTAATCAGAGTTAATATACAAAAGGTGACATATGCGATATACATTCATAAATTGTTCATCATGAATCTAGAACATGTGTTACAAGAGGTAATAAGAAATGAAAGCTAAACAGATAAACATATGCCCTAATGGCTTACATCTTTCCAAGACCGTGCTTGGTTACAACAAAATGAGTAAGCTCAGTACAAAAAAAGCCCTAGGCGTGTAAAAAAAGGTAAATACAAACCAAACAAAAGTGAGCTTTCAGCTCCACAATCCTCCCAAGCTAAGTCCTTGGCGGAGGCATATCACCAACACCTAAAAATGATTTTTTCCAAATAGGGTGAGCCAAAACCTAGTAGAAACAATCTAACACAATAGATAAATCTTAACAAAAATATAAGTAAAATGTGCATACACAATATCTGTGATAAAATCATTCATAGTTTATAGGATCATAGTTTGCCAAGCTTTATATCCCAATCCGTTTTATCTTAATTCATTTTATGACAATTTATTTCACCTTAATTCATAAGTCAAATTCATTGTTATCCAAACAACCCAACTGAGCCTACAACTCAGTAGTTATCTAATCAATACAACCATTACACAACACTTCGATTTGCCATTATCCAAATAAGCTTGTTGTAATTCAAACCCCAATTCAAACCCCAGTTCAAACACATTTATAATGGCATTGCTGTAGAACTCAGTCATGATGCATATACCCATAAACCCAAAAATCTCCTAACCCAAATCTTACAAACCCACATTGCTCTAAACACATAAAAGTGACAAACCAACAAATGAGAGAACATGACATACACAATATTCAATGATCAATAAAAACATTTAAAATTACAAACCTTACAAACCCACATTGCTCTCTGTTTTTTTAATTTATTTTTATTTTATTTTTAATTTTTTTTTTATATATCTGCAAATAATATATAAACCCATGGGAGCCTCTGCTCCAGAAAGGGACACTGAAAAATTGATCCTAGAAGCCCAAACACCCAACTCATGCACAGCTTGATTTGCTTATCTAGGGCAATTCTTCTTTGAAGCTAACAGCAGATTAATGTCACCCATCAATAATGGTAAATATAAGAAAAAAATTTATGTTGTTTTTTCTTTTTAGAGGGGGGGGGGGGGAGGGGGAGGGGGAGGGGGAATGAGGGTTGAGTGAATAACATGCTAAGGGGCAAGGGGACAACATATCTACCTTGTCATTGACTACCACCACATCATCTCCTACAACAATCAAGCCACATACATGACACCTCCCATTTTCCTCTTCATTATTACATGCCAAGAGGAACTCACCTCCTATCCCACCGTCATTGACCACCTCTCTCAAACTATCTGAAACTCTCCTATTCTTCCTACCAATAATTGCAACAAAGCTATAAAAAAATTTAATTCAAGATTGTAATTAGAGAAAGCTAGTCAACATCATTAAGCATTATCACAGAATCATAATAATTGCATTCCACCGAGGCAATACAATCAAGTATTAACATAATTACCATACATGTAAAAAACTACAGTTTTCACTACCCAACTAATCAATCAGCAAAAATTAACAAAGAAAACATAACAAAACAACACCAAATCAACACAACCGACCAAACAAAACTCGAATTTACCTAACTAAAGCCAGTCGCTTTCGCCACGGTTGGTCATCGTCACCACCCTCCAAATTCTGCTTCCCTCTACTCATAGAGTTCGGCCTCTCCATGTACTTGGTCTGCATTACCCTCAATTTGCAACCAGATTTGCAACACAAATTCCTCCAAAAAAAAAAAAACCTCAAAAACCCCCAAAAATCAAACACACAAGTTTCCTGTTCACGAATCTACAAATTTAGCTAGAAAATAAAGGAAAGTGAGATAAAGTAATAGTAATTGAGAGATTGGTGATGATCTAAACACATACCTGTATATGCGTGATTAAGAGTTTACAGGGAAATTTGAAACCAAAATGAAATTGAAAAAATAAAATAAAATTATTCAACAACAACAAATAAAGCATTATTAGCTAAAAATACAAATATAATACAGATTGTGAACTGCCTTATCCACTCCTTTCAACTACACTGAAATGAGACCCTCAATACCAAGCCAAACCTTTTTTTTCCCCTTTACCAATGGAATTTCCAAAACAATGTCGATTTGCTTCTAGGCTTGACAGATGCAGCAATCTGAATCGTCAAGCTTCCACAAAAGATTCCCTAGGTTGGGATGGTGATTCCGTGCCATAACCAGACCCAAGATAACAACCAACCCTGAGATACAAAAAATTGAAATAAATGAAACCCAAAACCCAAACTCCATATATATATATATAGAGAGAGAGAGAGAAAAAGAAAGATTACCAACAGTGCGAAGCTTGTGATCAACGACCCATTTCCTGATAGAATCAACGGTGTTGTTCTTCGTTTCAGCCATTTTCGGGGTTGCAATGGTAGTGGTCGTCGCAAGGAGAGGTGGTCGATGGTCGTCAGTGAAGATCAGTCCACCACCATCACCGATGAACTTGAACAATTGCTAGTCTACAAATCTCTGTTCGGCAAAAGATTCTTTGAGGCGGCAGCAGTGAAAATTCTCTGTATGCTGTAGCAGAGGAGGAGTGTGTGAGAGCTATGGATCTCACGACCGGCGGTGGTGGTGGATCTAGATTTAGATCTAGATGCGACGGTATCGAAATAGCGGCACCATCGAGGGGTGAACACGGAAGAGAGTGGCTGATGCAGACTACGGTGCTGTTGTAGAAGAGGGGAGTGATTGAAGTAGTTGTGAAGAAGGCGGCGATTCTGATAACAGTAGTGTGGCGGCGGCGTTAAGGCAAGTTTGGCCGCATCGGGAGAGAGAAAGAGAGAGAGAGAGAGAGAGAGAGAGAGAGAGTGTGTGTGTGTGTGTGTGTGAACATAACACCCATCTCTTTCTCTATACTACAACACCTTGAGGTCATGTTTGATTGGGGGTTTGAGTGTCACGACCCAAACCCGGCCCTATGGGTTTAGTACCGTAACCGGCCAGTAATCCGAGATTACCGAAGGCCTGCAGAACAGTAATACAGTAAAACAGAGTACAGGGCCTGGCGGAAGCCAATACAGTAAAGAAACAATGCCCAATGAGCTGTGATAAACAGTATGAGGGTTGTTACATTGAGAGGGTGGATTGAATTGCCAATCCGTAGGACCCACCAAACCTTTGTTTGGATGTAACAAAATGTCATAGGATTAGTAGTGTAGGGGCTTAGTAATCTCCATCTGTAAGGGGATTAGCTTGGATAAATTTTAGACGAGATTCGAAAAATAGTGAAGAGATTGAATCTATTTTATATAAAAAATTTATTTTTTTAAATTTATTTTTTTTACCAAGTGCACCTATTTGTTTTAGTTTTTTTTAATATAGAAATAATTTATTTATTTATTTTATATAAAAATAATTAACAATCTCATCGCTAATCATTTCCCACACTATCATCAAAACAAATACACTTTTACTTAATCCCCTCACTAATAATCCACACATTAACAATCTCTGCACTAACAATTCTTTCACTAATAATCTCATCCAACCTAATCTGCCAAACAAACGTGGCTGAGAGAGATCCACCATAGAGGGACTTGAAGAGAGAACATGTAGAGAGGGGCAGGCGTATTTAGCAAACGTGGGAGAGAGAGAGAGAGAGAGAGAGAGAGAGAGAGCATAGAGTGTTTGGGCGAGAAAAAAATTAATCTCAATTGTTAGATATTGATTAGGAATCATCTTAGCCATTCAAATGAAAATGTATGATACATTTCATATATTTTCAAAGACCGTCTTACTTTATTATATAGATATCAATTAATTCTTTAAATATAATCATGTTTTTTTTTGTTGGATGATATTTTTTTTTAAAAAAAGAGTAAATTATACTTACCATCTTAAGGTCTCTAATAATTATAAAGACTTTTTATATAGTTTTAATAATTACAAAAACTTTTTTTTTATTTTTGTTAAGAATGTCAAAATTCTTCTAATCTGTTAAGTTAGTACAAATAATATTACTTGAGTGTAAAAATAACTATATTATCCTTTGATTTATGCGTGAAAAGATGAAAATACCTATAAATTAAAAAGTTTTATTCATTATCAATATGGGTAAATTATATTTACCTTCCCTCAGAATTTACATATATATTATTAAAGACCCATACATATTTTAATATTATTTAATAAAATCCTTAAATTTCATGCAATACTAAATAAAAACCTTAAATTGTTAAAACATTATTGAAATATTTAATAAAAAAAACTTAAATTTCATTGATAAAATATTTAAAATAAACAATGTCTCTAAAATTAATGTTAGATAATATCTTAATAATTTAATATAAGGCTTATTTCACACATAAACAACGTAAAATTATTATTTTAAGTAAAACATTTATTATTTGAATTTTTTTAAAGTTGAAATAAATGAATTTATTTTTTGGGAAAATTACATCCATATATTTTACTGTTTGTATCATTTTCGTCTCTACACTTTCAATTGAGTCAATTTTAACCTTAATTTTAGATTTTGTTTTAATTTGCTCTAATTAATAATGTTGTTAGTATTTTTAAAGGAAAATTTTCACTCAATTGGTTGAAGTTAACTAGCTGAGTTGACTAAGTTTATTATTTCGCCTTGAAAATATGGCACATGACATTAGTGTACATATTTTTTATTAAAATAAAAAATGTTAAGAGTTATAATCAATTAGATCAAATTAAGACAAAATCATAAATTCATGATTAAAATTGAGCTAATTGAAAGTACAAGTTTTAAAATGACACAAGAAGTAAAGTATACTTGGATTAATATTTCTTTCATGATTAAAAAAAATTAAAAAATAAATATAGAGGTAAACCACTAAAGTTTTTGACAATTAAACCAAACTCATTTATTGTCAACATTAATTTTAAACTTAAATGCATTAAATTTAATGTACCGTATTAAATATATATGAAATTATTATTTATTTTTCTTAATTTTTTCAAAGTATAAATGTAATTTATTGATTCTACTTTTTGCCACAACAAGTTTTTGAATTTTTATAAACAAAAAATAAAATAAAAATTTAAGCATTAATGAACGTGAGAAATTAATTTTAAGATCTAATTTAATACAAATAGTTTAAATGAGATAAATAAAGATGGAGAAGTAGATTGTAAGTATCATAAATAACAAATTAATTGAGTATATATTTTATTATTTTAAAATAATTTCTCCATTCAAGTACAGATTAATTTTAATTTTAGGTGTACCAAATGATAAATTGTTTGAATTGTTTATTATTGTCAAATGATTTTTTGATTTTTCATTTCTTATCAATTAATTTTAATTAATTGTGAGATGATTATATTTTTTTACTTTTATATTTACTTTTTAATTTTTTTAGTCATGTTAAAATATTAACTTGCATTCTTTTAAATATGTATCGACTAGAAATTTAATTACTCAAAAATAAAAAATAAAAATTTGAGAATAATATATGATTGAGAAAAAGATAAAATAATAATATTTTTTACATATGAATAAAAAAGTAATGCAAGTTGCCAGAAAAAAATAAATCAATTTCTTTCAACTTTAAAAAATAAAATAAAATTAAACAACAAATCCATTATTTAAAACAATAAATTTTACATTGTTTATGTAATGTAGAATAAGTCTTATATTAAATTATTAGGATGTTGTTTAATATTAATTTTAGAGAGATAGTTTATTTTAAAGTGTTTTATCAATGAAAATTAAGGTTTATTTTTTTTTATTTTTATTTTTTTTATTCTTTTCTATTGAACGCTTTAATAATGTTCGAACAATTTAAGGATTTTATTTAATATTGCATGAAATTTAATAATTTTCTTAAATAATGCTAAAATATATATGGGTTTTTGATAATATATATGCAAAATCTCAAGGATGATGAGTGAAATTTCTCATTTAAATAGATAAGTTTACTAATAGGCTATTTTGTCATTTTTGGTATTATTACTTATGACATCAGCAAATTCTGTTATATAGCTTAACAGAAGGTAACAGTGAGAGAATCTTGATAATAGTTTCAAAAATAAGAGATGTTAGTATTGTAACGCCCCAAAATAAATGCCATAAATCGACTCCCAACCGCATATACACAGTGACATACATAAAGTAGTAATCTTTCATTAATCAGAATTAATATATAAAAGGTGACACATGCATCATACATTCATAAATGATTCATCCTGAATCTATAGCATGTGTTACAAGAAGTAATAAGAAATAAAAGTTAAACAAACATTCATATGCCCTAAAGGCTTATATCTTTCTAAGGTTGTGTCTGGTTACAACAAAAGTGGGTACAAATCTAATAAATATAAAGCCCTTGGGTTAAATCAAAACGATAACAAAATAAACAAAAGAAGCTTTCAGCTCCTATTCCTCCCAAACTATTGTCATGGCGGAGGCATGTCACCAACACCTGAAAATAGTTTTCCCAAATAGGGTAAGCCAAACCCCAGTAAAAATAATATAACACAATATATTAATTTTAACAAAGATATAAGTATGATATGCATAAACAATGCCTGTGATAAATCACCCATTATCCACAAATCAGAATGTGTCAAGTTTTATATCCCAATTCATTGTTCATATCCGTTTCATTCCATCGGCCAATACTCAGGACACAACTCATTGGGTCTCAAATCAATATAGTTACCACACAAATTCATTCATTTTCCATTTTACTAAAATTTTGTCCGCGGGATCAGCACCTATGTATACAAATAGTTTTCTAGACTTTCACCCTGGACACATAGGCCAACTTAATTCACTAGAGTCCATCCATTTTCTCCTCCCAAACACCATACATATACAATGTATTAAAACACAGTCATGTTCAATGACAATCAATAAGAGATTAGTTTCAATTCACCTAATCCTCATGTAATGTCTACAACAATCATAGCTATGCTCCATCGATAACCCAAAAATAGATATTTCTAAACAGATATACAATCTCCAAGACAGATAAATTATCTCAATTCCCATAGGCAAGGGGTAATATATATCCAACTCCATCGTTTATATAAATATCTATCCAATTTCACATTCCAATACCAATTTCATTATTTATATAAAATAATTATTAAAAGAAAATTAGGGCAAAGCTTCATTTTCTCCCAAAATCCAATCCATGTGTCGAAATCAATGATTTTAACACAACACATCCTCATAGTTACACCCAAAATCATTTTCAATACTTTTCTTAGAAAACCCCTCTTTTGATTTTAAACCAAAACTCTAGGTTTGTCTAGAATCCTCCAAATCCCTCATTTATTTACACAACAACGAATAACTAAGTTAAAAACTATAGGAGAGTATAGAAAGTCCCTACCTCAAGCTTTGAAGACCAAAGAAGAAGTGGAGGAACTTCAAAGACGCCAAAACCAAGATCTAATCGGATCAAAACGTGGCCGTTGAGGTGCTCTACCTTTTTTGTAAAGATACTAGGGTAAAGAAATCAATGGATTAAGATGAAAATGTAGATAGAAAGTGGGTTCTAGAGAGAGAAACTCAAGATCTAGGGTTTTGAAATGCTTTAGAGAGAGAAAGAGATGAAAAAGTGATATAAAAGTGGCTGTTACGAACTGATATACGCACAGTTCGCACAAACACAAGAAGTGACGCTTATGTGTTAGACACAATAAGTTGTTTCGCTCGAGTGTAAGAAGTGATACTCGAACGTGGAATGCACACTCCCAATAGTTTTACAGACAATAGAGTAATTGCCCGAGCGCAAGAATGGCCACTTGAGCTGAACCCGCTCGAGTGTAGAAAGGACCGCTCAAGCGTAGAATACACTCTCCCAGTAGTTTTGTCACTTTACTTTTGCGTGGAGCATAAAGGTAGTTTGGTTCGTAGCCTAA